CGGAGGAGGAAAAAGGGAAGAATACATTTTGTTATTCGAAAACTAAGTTCCAGGGTGTTGTCGGATGTATTGTCGTGTGTATCACGTACATATCATGGACCCAAAAGAAGATGTTCGCCACTTTCTGCCATTCATTTGGAATGCGTGTTTGTGGGCCATAGCAGTTAAGGTCTTCTGAAATGGCGTCCACACATCATCGATAGTGGCTTTGGTTTGACCAAAAGACCGCACGCCGCGTGCTACATTTGGGCGAGCTTCCATCCGGGCAATAAGGACCTCAAATTGTCCTTTGTAGTAATATTATCCTACAAAGTTCAGTTATTATAAACAGCAACTAGAAATAAATGGTTGCCGAAAAATTATATTTGAAGCAACTGAAATTGACAACAGTTGCCATCCATAATGCAAATTTGGCAATTGGCAACGGAACTAAACTATGGTTGCCATCCGTAATCGACCCAGAAATAAACGGATTGGATTAACTAAAGGAACTTTATGATTCCATTCACGGTAAAGTACCAATGAACTGGCTTGATCCGGAAGGACCCAACTCTAGTTATAGCCGATATATAAATTAGACGTGTTCCGTACCAACAGCCGACTTAGTATCTGTTCATGTATGTAAATTTTAAATTCTGTTCGACCAAACACATTAACATAGTCCACAATATTACGCGTTGGGTTATTTTGTGAGGGTTTGTTACTATTGTCAGGAATTTTCCACACCCATCATGAAATCGGGTTCTCCATAAACAAAATTAATTTTGGCCCAGTGGATGTATGTCTTACAATGTCCTCTTAGGCAGGATAACCAATAGAAATAAGAAAGCATTTAGCATAGAAGAAGATTAAGAAAAAAAAAAACAATTTCGGTTTTAATAATCATATTTTTGTTATTGTATTTATGCATGTAATAATGTATGTAATATGTTATACTATTAGGAAATATATGTATGCTGTAATGGTGTTTACTTAGATAGTTTGTAGGTAGTTGTTGTTGTGTATGCTGTATTAATGTTTATAGATATGAAATAGTTTATGGTAATTAGAATTTTATGTAAAGTCTTTATATTGTTGTAATGAATAATAATAATAACAAGAAGAAGAAGAAGGATAAGGCGAAAAACAAAAGCGAATTAATTTTTGTATTTCTCTTGAATTAATGTGTATTCTTGTAATTATGAAAAAAATAGTTAATATTAGGGAATTTTGAATTGAATATTTTGTAAATGTATAGAGTGTTGTTTGTTTTTTTAATAATTTAATAAATGTGTATTTGCATTTGGTTTGTGGCATTAATTTATTTATTTCTTCTTTTGTTTTGTTTTGATTTAATAATAATAGTTTGGTTTTTTTATAATTTCAATATGTCATAGATTTGTTTTATTTTATTTATTTCTTTTTTTTCATATAATTTATTTTTAATTAATATGTATATATATATAGTTTTGTATTTTTTTATTAATATTATATATTCTTTTTTTCTTTAATTTTTATCAATTTATTTTTTATTTTTTAGATTTTAGTTTTTTGTTTTCATTTCTTATTTTTGTTATAAACTGGTCAGCAACAGTAGCAAATTTAACAATGTGCGTAACAAATAATTGTAAATATTTTTTTAATATGTTTATAAATTTCATTTCATTTGTTTTCTCATAATTTGGTTTTTCATGTTTTTGTATGTATAAGATATATATAACTTTATAATATTTAATTATTTATAGTATATAATTTAAAGTATGTATAATATGATTACAATCAGTTAATGAGGGCGAAGATATTGTTTTTGTTTTAAATTTAAGGGTTTGGGAAGGGCATTTTGCTTTGTTTTCTTGTGTTTTATTTTATAAGTCAATTAACATTAAATTTGTTAAAACAAATATATATATAGGGTTGGTTTTTCTTTTGTTATTATTGCATTTTCATTTTAATGATATTTTGCTTTTACTTAGTCAATTTTACAACATTTGTTTTGTTGAAAAAATAATGTTTTTTATTATAACAAAATAATTTTTTTTATTTGGAAAAATAACAAAATTAGCTACAAATGGTATTTATGTTCAAAAAGATGCATATAATACTTTTCTTGTTTGGTTTGGTTCGAAATTCTATTTCATGAATGGGATTTCTGTTACGCGAAAATTTCCTATTAATTTTTAATTAATAAAAAATTAGTCACTATTAGGAAAATGGTTTGGATTTATTGTAATATGGACACAACTTTTATTAATCACATACATGAAAATATTGGAAAGTAAAATCTTAAATAGTTTTATTTTAAATGTTTTGTATATATCTTAAAACTTAAAAGATAAAACCGTGATAATCTCTACATCAAATGTTAAATGAGTGTTTGTAAGGATTCATTCACCAGAATAATAGTAGCTACAACATATTTGAAGCAAACGGAATCTCAATTCCTAAAATATATCAAGGATTTATTAAATCAATAAATGGAAAAAATTTGCAAGAACACAAGTCCTGAAAAAAATTTCCGGAAATCCTTAAGTTAGATATATTAAATCCGTAGAAAATCGTTTAAAAATACCTCAAATCGGAGAATTCCCCAAAATCAGGGATACAACAAAATCTGTAGCAGTTTGTGTCTACCCAAGAGTTTGTAACGTCGCGAAATATTGGCCGTAGAGCCAGATTTTAGTATACCGATTGTCATATCTCGACTAGCTGAGTCGATCTAGACATGTGCATCGTCCAATCGTCCGTCCAATCGTCCGTCCAATCATTACGAAATTTTTCATGTTCTGGCCAAAGAAGATATCTGTTTTTTGATAACGATCGCTTAGTTTTTAGAAGATGAAATTATGACCCGAAAATCGCGAAATTTTACACAGAGAAAGAGGTCTGTCCATGGAATAAGCATGTCCCTTTTTATTGAAGATCGGTCAATATTTAGTGGGTTAAATGGACCCAGACTTTTGTGTAAATAGTGACAAAATTTGTAAGTCATTTGTATTAAGCCTTATGAATATAGACTCGAGAAGTTCATAATATATTGAAGAGGCCTTTAATTAGATACCAATCGAAATGACACCCTTTAAAAGTATACCCTTTAAATTGATAACCATTATATTGATGTACGTAGCCGAATGCGAGAGTTAAACTTTACCATTATCACACTAGAGGGCAAAAATGCAGCGCTGATGGCTAGGAAATTTTTCATGATATATTGGTTATGGTCAAGGATTTCGATGATGATCAGATGATATTTCGAGGATGAAATAGACCGAAAACTTTATTTTTGATAGTTTTCTAGTCGGTCTAGATGCCACAATCATAAGCCGAACATCACACATTTTCCATGAGGAAGGCGATCTGACCAATTACACCACAATCATAAGCCGAACATCACACATTTTCCATAAGGAAGGCGTTCTGACCAATTTGAATGGCTGTCATGATAAGGCCAATATTTAGCGCATTAAATTATGCCACAGAGAAGCTTTTGACATCCAATCGATTAAGAGAGTGCAAATATCGTGCGAACCAGACTCGGATTAAGATCCTTAGAAACTGAGCGCTCAGTGATAGTTATGTAGGGTATTATATGGTCGGCGCGGTCCAACTGTAATACACCGCTCATTGGTTTTAAAATGCTAATTCAGCCATCGCTCTAATTGATATCGCTGATTGCAATGTCAATTAGTCAATTTTTATAAATTATTAATTTCTAATAATTAGGGATATCTCTGAGTCACAGGAATACTATTTGAGGGAAAATAAAATAAACCCTTGTATTAGTGGAAATATATCATTACATTTCATTATTTTCAATACAAAATATGGACAGAGTACTTTCTTCGCCAGGAATATGGAATGCCTTCAAAAATATCGAGAGCTATGTTAAAACATGGACTTTTATCGAAAATTTTCTGTAAAAATTATTTTTTCGCTCTACAAGAAGCCAGAATACCAAATGTTTGCTCTTCAGTGGGAAACGTGCCTGAAACCTTAAAATGGCGAAAAGGGGGCAGGATCTATATCACAATATGGATATATGGTGGACATTTTCAGGATTTTATAAACCTCCGAAAACCAAAATGCGCGTAACCTATACATGTGTTCTAACAAAAAAAATAACAAACATCCTAGAAGTAATATCAATGGGTCTCCGAAGATTATTTATATACACTCCCATTATTGTGGAAGGTATATAAATACAATCCCGGTTATTTACAATACGTTTGTAATATTTTCATAGGTAACCGAAACACAACACTAATCGATCGGTCGGTCTTTGATGTCGAGCCAAATCCAACAATTTTTTTTCGTGGGAAAAGCATTTTGAATAATTTTTCTTTTGGCCTAAAGTGAGCGGAGAAATTCAAAAACAAATAATGAGCATCATGACAATCGAAGCGTGGACCTCTGACCTGATGCAATGATTTCTATTTACTTCGACACATCACGAAAAAATTAGTGGTCAATTATATTCGTCGCCGGAAGTAGAAGGTGAAGTGTTGGAAATCCATATTTTGGAGGTGTCCCATTCGGAGTGGCAAAAGTGATTCGACAATTACATTAAAAAAAAATATTCTCTTTAGAGGCCACTTTCTTCCAATTTAGAACAAATAGTTTTTCATAAATTGTATTTATTGGTCTTTCGCCGTAAAGAGACATCAGAAGGTGTACTAACAATATCATTACAACGCCTCCGTACGTAAGGTACCCATCGAAGTCCCCCTGTTAAAAGGTCTTATATATAGGAGATCCCAACAATCTTTTTAGCAGAACTTGTATCTAAAAAATTGTGAAGTATTGTGAAATAAAATCAAATATATTTGCAATATATGTGATTTTTAAAACGTGCATCCATTTCCAATCATTTTTTTTTACTGTTTGAAAAAAAAAAATTAGTTTATTGTGAATGATTTGTTTACTTAAAGGTTTCTGTTGTTTTTTCTGTTTTTTTTTTGCATTTCTTTTCTTTTATAGTAATTTAATATTATTATTTTTCATTATTATTATTATAATTAATTAATTATTTAGTATTTAATTTAATATATATATAAAAACGACCTATAATATGACCGGGGTTATTTACCAAAACCGAATCCGAACTTGCCAAAGAGATCTTTACCTTTCGACAGCACATCACCGCCCGGCGCCGCTGCTGCGATACCTTTAAGACCGCCCAGCAGACCGGCACCGGGTCCTTGACCTTGCGGTGGTGGCTGTTGACCTTGAGGTGGCACTTGTGGTTGTTGTTGTTGCTGCTGTTGTTGTTGCTGTTGCTGCTGCTGTTGTTGCTGCTGCTGCTGTTGGGCCCCGCCGCCAAACAATCCCCCCAGGCCGGTTGAAGCTTGCTGCGTTGGCTGCGCACCACCTTGTGGTTGCATTGGATCTTGTTTCGGTGGTTGTTTCGACCCAAATAGACCACCGGTGGCAGCCGAAGTAGCACCCGAGAGTAAACTAGTTGCTCCGGACAGTAAACCGCCTGAGGGTTGTGATACGGGAGGTTGTTGTTGCGGCTGCTGCTGTTGGCCCATCATACCCATCTGGCCCATTTGTCCCATCTGCTGTTGGCCGGGCATGCCCTGCTGTTGGCCCGGCATGCCAGGCTGTTGACCCTGTTGCATGCCCATTTGGCCCATCTGACCCATTTGCTGGCCCGGTTGTTGTCCCATGCCCGGCTGTTGGCCCATCATGCCCTGCTGTTGACCCATGCCGGGCTGTTGGCCCATCATGCCCTGCTGCTGACCCATCATACCCTGCTGACCCATTTGCCCCATGCCACCCATTTGCTGCTGTTGCTGTAGTTGTTGTTGTGACTGCTGTTGTTGCTGACCGTATGGTTGCTGTTGTTGCATTCCGCCAACAACATTACCACCGCGACCGATCATCCCCTGTAAAATAGTTGCACAGGCATTAGTCCAAAAAAACATGTAGGGGAAAATAGGTGGGGTTTGCTAACTGTTTTGTTTCTTTCTATATTTGCATTTCGCAACAATAACAATAAGAGTACGTAAGTGTTATTGGAAACAAATGAAGAAACAAAGATAATATCAAAAAAATAAATTATGAAAGGAAAAGTAAGAAAGAGGAACTTCATTACTCTGAGTAAGTAAGTAAGTATAACGAACAAATTCAAATTCGAAACGAAACAAAAATATAGAGGGAAAATTAGCTAAAAATAAAGAAACTCGTTATACACTTTAGTAACTGACAAAATATACTAATATTTTTTATATATAGAAAAAGAGATAGATAGAAAATGAAATATTTATATATAAATTATTTTCTTTGGTTGATTGTGGAACGTAACGAAGGAGTTGCGGGGCTTAAGAACTTTCATTCACGTGAAAAACTGAACAAAGTGATTTATAATGACGTGTTTCCTGACCCACGGAAAGGAAAACGCAAATTCCACTCGGAGTCTAAGTTTGTCTCTGTTTTAGAGAGTCTCGTTTAACAACAATGGTGGGGAAAGCTTTTATGAAGATGATTACAAAAATAAATAGACAAAATTTGCCAATTTTGAAATGTACTACATAACTACAGAATTGATGATAGGTGGTATTTATAAATATTTCGTTCGAAACTTTGTTAATGCATTTCGGAAATCTACTCAAGTTAAAAGAAAATCATCCATCATGAGGTGAACATACAAATATTGGAAATTTGGGATAGGCCTTGAACATACCCAAAATGTCGTGTGAAAATTGAAAATCATGTCTGAAATTCTCAAAATGACGAAATTTGAACACCTCAAATACCTTTAGTATGTCATTCATATTTCGCAGAACTAACTAAGATATCTTCAAACTATTGGAGGACCTCAGAAGATATTCTCTTATAGGATACATTATTAAGGTATTTTAGGATACCTTTGTGGAAAAAGTCTATATACAAAACACCTTTTTGAGGTCATCTACCTTATGTATACCTTTGATAAGGAGATGTGACACATACGTGTCCTATAGAACACTCTTCGACGGTTTTTTACTATGAAGGACCTTTGTGGATTCTATTCTGAAAATTCTAAATAAATCCAGAAAATGTATTTGTTTTCAATACATTCAATTTGTATTCCATGTTAGCAAGAAGGTGTCCTAATTGGAAAAGTTATGTATTTATAAGACATTCAGCATTTAAGTATGTTAAAGTCTGCCTTCTATAAATTCGTAAAATTATCGATTTGCAGGAAAACTTAAGGCGTGAAGTGGATTTGTCAGCTTTTATTTGTTTACGAATACAAACACATTTCAATTTTTCTATCAATACTTTCCCAATTTTGTTCGGAATTGCTCTGTGAGGTAGGTCTGAAATGCATAAAACCCTACGTTGTTCTCAATTATAGAATCATTTATTATGAATGAATCATTTTGAGCAGCTGACATATTTTTTATGCACTTATTTGGATTATTAACTAATTTTAAAGCATACTTTAAGGAGAAACGATTTTTTGGGACAAAGGCAGGGTTGTATTTGAAATTATGTCGAGATATTTAGTGGATTTAAATTTGTATGGTAAATCGAGGTAAATTGTACTCGATTTAACAATTAAATCAGGATTCTGCACTTTATCTTTCCTTAGAAAGATTTTGAAATTTATTTTTGTATCATCAGTAACTATTAATTCCGAATATAATTAGGAGTTTGGTATTAACTAATATACTTTTAGGCGATAAATTGCAAATCTTTAGGGAGTCTTCATAATTGGAGATATTTTATATCGGATTCAATTAATTAAGTCTTTGATTGTGATGTAGTAAATTCTGCGTTGAAAAGTTGATAATCGACTATATAATTAGTTTTCTAATAATACTATGCTGCAGCTCTGATTCACCACCATGATTAGTTCCATAGGTGCTTCTAGTTCCATAATATACGTCAGTTAATTCGGCCAATGAGCGAGAAGATCTAAATGAACGATTCATTCAAAAGGCACTATGTGAACGAGATTAAAAAGGAACAAATTGAACGAGATAACCACATGAACTAGTACCGTTCGTTTCTTTTGCGTTATAGTACATTTGAACTATTTTATACGTCGGTTAATTCGGTCAATGAACGAAAATATCTAAATAAACGATTCGTTCAAAAGGTATTATATGGACTAGATTAAAAAGGAACTAGATGAACGATGTAACCAGATGAACTAGTACCGTTCGTGCCTTTTGCGTCATAGTTCATTTGAACTAATTAGTTCCGAAACGGCCCAACTCTAAAATGTACACAACTACTTTGGTAGAAGAAATTTAATATAATCTATACCAAGACGTAGGATGATATCTATCCATTTTCGATATCAAACATCTGAGAAGTAGTACCAATTTATTTATTTTATAAATTCAAAGATCTGTCTTATATAAAGCTAGTCTTATACTGATTTCAAATGATCGACTAATATTACGTTATGCGATCTTCGATGACTTAGGAAACTGTTTTAAGATCCAAGATTTTAAAACAATTTTTTACGGATCAGAATGGTTAGCAGTGTGACTGTTCTTCCCGCTATATTTCTACCATGTAATTTCAATTTTATGTTCAAAATAATTTGAATTCGTATTCGTCGTACTTGTGTTCAATGGGAATTGAACATATTCCCGGAACAGATTAATTGAAAAAAATACTTTCTTTCTGTGTGACTTTTTTAAGAGAAAGACTTTTTGGGCATCTTTTTAAAAATTCCTAGCAGTAACACTGCTCCTTGTTCTACTGTAGACTCTTATAGTCCTCAACTAAATTTTCGCCTATAAGTATGCAATACATGTGTCAATAATTGTTCTTATAAACAAACACAAGAATTTTCCCTTAAACTTGAGTAGATTTCTTTAAAACATTTTAAATTTTAAGATTTTTTGTTTATATGCTATATGAATTGATTTGAAAATATGTAGAACTAGCAACGTTTTTCTGGTTTAGAATAACTTTTAATGAAACAAAAATCAAACTATATGATGTATTATGAATAATTATATGTCTGTAGGGGTTTGGATAGGTTAATAAATATTTTGGGTATATATAGTTGGCATCTGATTTAATCATATAACGCAATAATAGTTATTCTGCTCTGTTTCAATCTTTTGTATTGAATTGTATGTTTGAGTTGTGTAAGATTATTGTTTTGGTTTTTTTTCTTCTTTTGTTATCAAAACTGAAAAGAAACAAATTTCAACTAAATTTTAAATTATTTAATAATTTATAATTAATATACTTTTAGTTTTTTTTTTGCAAATTTATAACAAACATTTGAAATGAAACGACAAATTATAGATTTGGAAAAAAGCCAAAAAAAAATTATAAAAAGGAATGAAATATAAAATTAAAAAAAGATATATATATGAATGATCGATATACAAGAAATGAAACCAAAAATGATTTAATACACATTTCTATGAATATTCGGATACAAATAATGAAAACTATAAACGAAAACAAAACACAAAATAAAAAATGAGGACATTTTTGTACACATACAGTGAATCACATAGAATTTTTTTACACACCATTTACATTTACATCCAATATTATTAGGAAATGAAAAGAAATTTTGTATTTTTTGGTAGACACACGACTAATAAATATTTATTTATACTTATGAAATGTATACTTATATATGTATATGTAAATATTGTGGCCTTGAATTGTATATTACATAATATAATAAGCATTGAGTTGTATTTTTATTTATTATTTGAATATACGCTTTGCTTCTAAGATATGTTGTAGTTGGCTGTTTTTTTTTAAATATGGCTTAATAGAGTGAGTAGATATTTACAGAAATTGGAATCATGAATTTTTTAAGTTTTATATAATTTAGAGGGTTTTTATAATGTATAAGAGTGTTCTATTCGTAAACGCATTTTAGTAGAAAACGTAATATAAAAAAAATGAACTTAAGTACCTGCGCAATTTTATAAACAATTATTTTTTATAAAACAGATTATACACATGGGTAGTCAGTTATTTGTATATTTATCCCTGACTCCATGGTACAATTATAAAAGGTAACAGCAAATCCCAGCTGATTTGATTCAAACGTAATACTAGTGTCAATAGGAATTTGACAAATTATGTTTTAAAAAATCACCCAACAGGAAAATTGGGAACGCATACAAATTGAAATTGTTCATTATTAAATGTGCTCCCGTATTCAATTTACTCAATCTGCCTGCTGGGAAAGTTTCAGGAAGCAAATCTTTCTTCAAGGAATAACTCGCTATTCCCAGCATTTTTATGTGTGTTACACATATATGTGGCAATGGCTCAATTATAGGAAAGATGTGGAAGCGATAGAAATATAAATTTGAAAGATTTTCATTCATGTTTTTCAATTTTTATTTTGAGGATTCGAAAATATTTCATTTTCAAAATAAAAATAATTTGATGATAATTTGTTTGTTTGTTTACATTTTTCTGTCAAATGAGTTGACACTAGTAGAACTTACAACAACAAATTTCCATGTGGTTGTTGTATCGTTTTTTGTACAACAACACTTGCTGTTACCTTCTATTATTATACCATGCCCTGACTCTTATATCATTGACAATGATATAAATTTTGAATATAAAATCAATGACGTGTTAACAAGATGTGTACATGAAATATTAAATCCATATATTTCATATGTGACATTGAACATTTGACATTTTCCATGCCATATAGGGTTGTTTTTCTATAAGGAAGAAGTTTCAATAAAATATTGAATATATTTAGGCGTTCGACTATGCGAAACTAATATTTTTGTTCGTAATAAAAATAATATGCCTTCTAAAACGACTAGTATCATATCCTAGCTTTTTAGACTAGTATTAAAATGATATAAAGTTGATTTGCCAGCTGTTATTTGCTGTTCATTTCACTGCTTTCATAATTTCTGTGGCAATTTTCAATCAATATTTTTTATAATTCTGATAGGAATTGCTCCTCATTAGTTAAAAATCGTAAAAAAAACATTTGTTATAAATTATAGTAATATAAATTACAAATTTAAAAAAATCTAAATTTTTCATCTGCTGTCATATTTTTGGTATGCCACGTGATGCAATAATAAGGTGATGTATCAATACAAAAACCGTTGTTTTTGTCTCGACCATCTGCCAAATTTTTCCATATAATATTTCACATGGTTGGCAACGTTGTACATCGAATTCAAGTAGAAATTACCCACTCTGACAGTTAATCTAGACATCAGCTGCGCTAAATGGACTACCTATTCATTGTTCCATGGTATGTCACTATTTTGAATTTTAACGTATTTTGTAGCATAGTTTAAGGAGAAGTCATTATTTTCTGGTGCAAAATCAGAGTTGTATTTGAAATTATCTCGATTTAGGATAGGATTTCAAGCAAATCGAGATATTAAGTAGTTTCAAGGCGATTTGTAAACCGATATATCAAGTCCTAACTCTTTAGTTAGTGAAATGAAGTTGATTTGTCAGCAGTTATTTGTTTACAATACACACATATATACACAAAATATGTATTTTGATTTGATGGAACAAGCCACCTTGAGAAACAATTGTAATCAGTTGGTAGTTGCGTATACATACACATTTCCCTGTTTCAATGATTTTTGTGGCAATTTTCCCAGTAGTACATACAAATATTTCTTGTTTTGAATTATAGTAATATTTATTATAAATTAAAAAAAATCAGCAGCTGACATATTTTTATTAGGCAATTATTTTGAATATTAACTAATTTTAAAGCATACTTTAAGGAGAAACGATTTTTTGGGACGAAAGCAGGGTTGTATTTGAAATTATCTCGATTTTGCAAATTGCGATATTGAGTTGAGTCGAGGTAAATTGAGCTCGATTTAGCAATTAAATCGAGACGATGCTTTATCACGATAAAAGAAGGGATATGAAATCGACTAATCGACTTTTTGCACTTTATCACTTTTTGTATTGAAAACCGTAAAAGTCGAAATCGACTTTTGTCTTCGACGAAATCGCAAAGTTGACTTTTCAAGATCGACTCTCGATTTTCTTCATAAATACTTGGTTTCTTACCACAAAGCCCAAATTTCACAAAAAATAAACAATACAGACCTTTATTTTATCTGTTGATCATTTCATATAATGGCCGTCTGATGCGGAAATAATCCAGCACTTCTCTGATGTTGAAGTGGTAAGAATAGCTTAATGTTATCGGACATCTCCGCAGGTTGCTGATAATGAAGCATAATCGATATATTGGGTAACTCTAAATTAAATCAGTGTTCCGGACACTCAACGAGATTCTCGCAAGAAAAGTCTAATGGCCAATGCTTCATTGACTGACAGCCGATTATTGGCGCGCCTAAATTAACCATTATCATGGATTCCTACTTTTAAGGATGGGGCTGATATAATTTCCTCCATTTATTTTAATCAAAGACCGCAAAAAACAAACTCTTCGACTGAAATAGGTGTGCTTGCCCTTGCGCCTTCAGTCTCAAACATTATTATTATTTTATGGGTGCAAAAGCAGTCTTATATTTGAAATTATCCCGATTTCGAAAGAAATTCGAACATCGCGAGTTCGATGTAGCAAATAAATGTATAGAAAGCATATAATGACGGGTTTATACTACCTTCTAAATCAATTCCATTTCTAATTCAAGGTACAAAACATTAGATGTTTAGACTAGTGTTATCATGATATAAATATGCCAGTCAGCTGATATTTGTTTATGTATGTTTACACATTTCATTCATTTCACAATTTCTGTGGCAATTTTCAATCAATATTTTCACAATTCTAATAAAAATTGCTCTCAAATTTTGTCATTTTATTATCATATTTTTTGTACGCAACTGTTTTGAATTCTAACTTATTTTGACCCGTTGCCATTCTGGTACTTTTACGAGAAGGAATGGATCTTTGCATGATGTAACACTATGGTGATGTTTCAAAACAAAAACCTTTTTTGTCTCGGCCGTCTGCCAAAATTTTCCTTATAATATTTCGCATAGTTGGCAACATTGCAAATCGAATTCAAGTAGAAATTACGTAGTTGGACAGTTAAATTGACACATCAGCTACGGTAAATGGGCTACCTATTTATTGTGGCATGGTTCTTTGGGATAAAAAACAGTGTTGTATTTTAACTTTTTTCGATTTCGCAAAGAAATTCTAGGAAAACGATATAATGAATCTATTTATACTACATTTACATTGTATTGGATTTTGTTCCATTGCATATATGTCAAATAAAACCTTATAAAGGAGATTAACCCGATAAAAAGTTCAAACGTAAACATCGTTTTATAATTTTATGATAAATCCAGGTAAATTCTGTTCGATTTAGCAAATATATTCTAAACTCTCCTTAATTTTTAACGATCGAAGTAAATATCATTCGATTTCGAAAATAAATCGAGAGCATACATATTTTTATACTACGTTTACATTGTACCGGATTTAGTATACCTGGAAGATATAAATTGTCAATTTCATTGCATATATGTAAAATAAATCCTCATTGAGTAGGTTGGAATTTAAACGATTTGAAAAACTGTGCATTACGATAAGAACACCCTAATATACAAACTTGATATTATTTCGATTATGATATTTTTTTGGAATTTCGCTCTGCTTTCTTTGATGTGGTTGTTTTTGCTGGTATGTGAGTTCTAGAAGTAGTTTGAATAAATTGTATTCTATTGTTTGAAATGTTTTAAATTTTGGAATAGGGGAAAATGTATAAAAACAAAAATTCGTTGATAGGGGATAGGAAAATAAAACAAAGCATATAATTCGAAACGAAAATCAAAGGCAGAAAGCTGAAGTGAAAAATGAAAGTGAAAAATGAAACAGAAGAAATAACTGGATTTTTGTATCATTAACCAGGATTAAGGATTTGTATTTCACCAATGCAGTGGTGAGTTGTGTGTTGATTTTTTGGACTGATTCATTGTGTGGTAGTAGGTAATGTGTGAACTTTTGGGTAATTATGAAATGTAATTTTTCTATGAGTGGTATGTTTTGCCGTTTCATTGAAATGTTTGCTTTGCCTTTTTTTGGGTTTCAAAACGTTTTTCTACACAGACAGAGATAGAGAATAACAAAAGCAACTAATTTTCTTGTTTCTATTAAAAAAATGGTAGTGTTTAGTGTTAATGGTGTATTTAACAAAGATTGCTGCAGCTGAACTACTTTTTTCGATCTCTTGATTTTTCGACAAATATTAAATGCACAAAAATATGGGTTTTTGTTTTCAATTTAGTTTTTTGTTTTTGTTTTTTCAAAATGTTGCTAGCTATACATAAAAGATGTTGCAAAAAATGATTTTGTTTTTATTTTGTTGTTAAACTTTATTGTGTTGTTTCGATTTGTTTCGATTTTTTTCTTTTTGGGAATTGAGGTGTTGTTTAGCATTTCTTATGAAATTTCTAAAAAAATGTTGTCGTTTTTTTTCTTCTTCGTTTTCTTTTTTTCTTCTTCTACAGAACTCCAAATCAAACACAAACGACAATTGGTTGGTTCGAAATGAAAGTGAAAGCAACTAAATTACAATACAGATTTGGAGCAATGCATGAATGTTGAGCTGTTGAGTTTCATCTAATCAGAGACAGAGTTGTATTGAACACAGTTGTAGTAGACAAGTAGTAGAAATAGTTGTAGTAAATAGTAGTGGCGGTGGTAGTTGTAGTAGTAACAGTTGTATAGAGACAGTTCTAGTAGTAGGGTGTGATAGTTGTACTTGAAAAAAAAACAGTGAGTGGAGTTTTTTTCGAGTTTTGATTTATTTTTTAAGTTGAGGGGAGAGTTCTTTTTTTTTCTTGCATATATAAAGTAGTTTGTTATAAGAGCGAGAGAGTATTATGTTTGAGAGAAAGAGAAAGATATATAACGTATATTTCAAAAACAAAACTAAAAAATGAAGAACAAGTTAAATGCATTTTTTTTCTTAACAAAAATGTAAAGAAGTTAGAGTATTTACCTGCGTTTGGTGATCGGGGGCAGGGTGGCCCGTGTTGTCTAACAGTGTAGGGGAAGCAGGGCGAGCATCTATAGCAACAAATATAACATAAAGACTTCACATTTACCACAGCAGACCATTACAAAATAAATTTTGTTTAACTTAAATTCTTTTTGTTGTTGGTATTGGTAGTATTTTTCGGTTTTTTTCTCAAACGTAAAAGAACTCAAAGAAAGGAAAAAGAAAACACAATAAAAAATTAAAAAAAAACGTAGAAGAAGAACATAAAAGACAGAATTAAGTAAAAAGAATTCAAATGAAAAAAATAAATTATTTTGAAAATTTCGATGCATTTCTGTTATTGTTGTTGTTTAGTTTTGGAGAGAACCAATTTGAAATAATAGTTTTTTTGTTGTTGTTTTGCCTATAACCACAAATTTTGTATATCGTGTAGACAAAATACAGCAGCTTCTAAAGGTCAACTTTATGCTGGGCTGATTTTTGTTTCAATTCCATTTGAATATTTTCTATATAATTCACCGCAAGTTTGGACTTAGTATTGCTCAATTTACACATAATATAAACATAAGATAAAAACAGAATGAAATATATATAGAAAACTAATGAACACAAAATTTAAAGCAAATAATTATTTTTTTTTATTTTGCTTTATAAGAAAAAGGCAACAAAATAAAAACTGAACTCATTTCGATTGTTTTTTTATTTTGAAAATTAAAAAAAAAATGAATATGTGTTTTTGTTTTGTTGTATTACCTTCAAATATGTTGCATTTTGTCTGTTGTATTACTTATTATTGTACATTATAATAATTATTTATAACATTTTATACACTTATTTATATGTTTAAATGTAGTTGAAATTAAAAAGTAAATATTTTTGTTGTTAAGTTTTTCATAGTTGTTTTTTTTCTGTATAGTGCCTTAGAAGCAATTTTTATGTAGAAATATTTGCAAATAGACAGGTAAATATATTTTTGAAGGAAAAGTTATGGGTGTGTGTGAATGTTGTTGTTATTGTTGTTTATTTTGTTTTATATTTTGTATATATAAAAACCGCAATTAAACATCGTAGCAAAAATACGAGCAAAATATATAGAACTTGTAACAAATAAAAAATAGAAGAAAGAAAACTAAAAATAAGCCCATTTTATTGCAACGTAATATTAAATTACAAGAGGGTTGTCCATCAAATTTCTACACATTTTGTGAAATTGCTTATAATATTTATAGGTATAAAGAGTTGTGGTTTTGGAGTCTAAAAACAAAGAATATTTATTCCCGAAATAATCAGATCTAAATTAATCTGTTCCAGAAACTGCAAGGAGTAATATTTTTTATTACGATAACAATTTTTCTTTATGATGTGGAAAAAGTAGTAAAAATTAGTAGATTATTGCAGACCAGCTGTTCCATACCTTTTGAATAGTAAAGCTAAGAACAGAAATACGGTCGTGGGAAAATCGAGAAATTCAAGAAAATCATAGGAATGGAAAACAAGTACAAATTGTGGGTAAAAACCTTAATTAATTTGTCTAAAATTGTGGGTAGGTTTCAGGAAAAGAGTACGCTTTTCAAGTAAAAATTTCAATAATACAACAATATAGTACTATATTGTAGTATAATTGTAATTAAAGAATAGGGAAATATGGTTCGACAAATTATAAGGATCTTTTTTTCAGAGGAAATTTACTATGAATAAACATTCCTGTTAAATCTACCGTCCTTGTTGCATGGAAACAAGCTAAAATTGTTCCACTTCACATGCTTATCGGCCTATAATAAATTCCAACGCAATTGGAAAGAACACATATCTGACTCTGGTATGAAGTAGGATTATTGACTTATTCAAAAATTAGAAAATAGCGGACCTAGGATTTTTTTTGGAAATCTCTATTTTCGACCAAAAACCAAGCTGTATAATAAGGATGAGTTGGACCGATTAAAGTTATTCTAGTTCATACCATAGAAGCAGAATAACGCATTAAAATTTGGAATGAATTGGATAATTAATGTTTGAGTTGTAGTGCCCGCCATCTTAAAAACACCCTTTTGAGAAGAACTTCTTTAACGTTTGAGAATCGTCGCTTGATGCTGAAACAATAAATCGGCTGTATCATAAAGAGTAGTTGAGATTTTTACTTGAAATATTAAGAAAAGTGAACAAAATATCATTTTTTTTTTTGAAACCGAGAATAAAGTAATGAAAATCCTTGATGCACAAGCTAAACAAATTGTTCACAGTTTCACAAGAATTAGATTTGAACCATTTTGCATTTACATCAATCATCTACCAGACTTACTGAAACATTGAAAATTACATAATATACGGAAAAACATTTTTCATACTGACCTTTCTTCTTTGGAGTTACATTCTAAAAATACAAAAGGTTCCCATAAAACAATAACCTACTGCTTGACCATATACATTCGAACCTTGAAGTCTAATGGTGCAACTCATCATCATTCATCCATTTAATTTAAAAAGCAAGACTTTGAAAAAACAAAGGCCTTTCAGAGTTCAATTACAATACCTATCCCAAACCAGTAATTAAAGTAGTAAAGTCGGTCGGGCCGACTTTTTGATACCCTCCACCACTTTAGGTATATTCAACAGATGCATCTAACAGACGCTTGATCTTTAGCCATTTGTAAACCGACTAACACCAATCCATACACATGCCATTCTGCAACCTGCGCTAAATTTCATTTCAA